GAACTCGCGCCCCAGAGAAAATTTTCAAGTAAGGTAAGATACCAGGAACATGAAAAAAATGTTTAAAAAATTCTATGTCAAAAAATTTTGACATTTATTTTTTGACATTTGACTTTTTTATGTCTATTTAATGATACTGATGATCTTGTATATGTTTTTTGACAATTATTTAGTAAAGGTACAAAAATTTTGCCAGTAAAAGCCACAAATAACGATGAAAAGAGTTACAATTTAGGATACAGCTTTCTTGTTTCCTCTTTTAATAGCCTATAGCAAAAAAACTTGGAAAATTATGTTTACAACAAAAATAAATAGAAGCAAAGTGCAAACTTTAAACCCTCATAACTTCGAAATTTTTATTGATAAAATTTTTTTAACATTTTTTCCATGTTCCTGGTATCTTATATGGCATTTTTTTCTGGGACGCAAGTTCTGGCGCACCCTGTATAGTAATTGGTGAACATATATTTATAAAAGTTTGCATCTAGACTATTTTTTTGGCGATGTCAAAAATTATGTACCTTATTTAAGGGGGTGGAAGCACTGGGGTTAATCTAGTTAAGCCGTAAAATTGTGTTTGAAAAAACGTTTTTTGAAATTTTTTAGCAAATTCGGATTTCAAAAAATTTTTCTTATGTTATTTTTGTATGTACGTCGCACCGTTTTCAAGTAATGATAGGTTTTCTTAAACCGTGCACCGACCTTAATTCCAAAAAGCGATCTACACAAAGATTTTTTTTAGGTAAAGGTGAAGTTATAGTTCTTATTCCTTTATTAGAAAGCCTTTCCATAAAAACTTTTTTATTTTAATCACAACCTGAAATCTTTAATTTTTTTTCGGACAGCCTGTATATTGACTATTATTTTGTAAAAATTCTAAAAAGTTAATAGTGCTACAGGTTCAGAATAAATCTCTAATTTTAATATGCAGTGTAAATTGTAACATCAGGAAATGAAAAATTGATATAACATTTTAGAAAATACATAATAATAAACAAAAATAAAAGAAGTTGGGGGTGAATTTTATTTAGTAAATACTAACACCTAAAAAATGTCTTCTGCTTTAAAACTAAAAAAAAAACATTTCAAATTTCCTAAAAAAATAATTTGATCAACGCATAAATGTTGAATAAAAAGTATTTGCTTTTTTGCAAAATAAAACATTTGACTGAAATTATTTAAGCATTTTTATAGTATAAAGTTATTATACATATAAGTTTATTAAACATAATCAAGCAACACTTGATATCATTTTATTATTTTTATTTTTCGACACTGTCAAAATTTATGGTTTTTCTCCTGTGTAAGGAAGTTTTGACAACTGTTTGCCGATTTTTAATAAAAAATGTCTGATTATTTTCAACAGATTTAAAGCAATGTTAAGTTTTGATGAGTGTAATTCAGAAGTATTCAACACGTCTATAAGTGTAAATCTGTTCATTTATTCTACCTGGCGGATGATAAACCACTCGTTAATACTTGTAGTTTAAAATGCCACTCGTGAAATGAAGCTTCCGATTTACACTCAAACTCGGTGAATAAATAAATAAATAAATAACTATTTTGTTATAAAGAGTTTTAACTAAAAGTGGTAAGATTCACTTATTTAAACTTTAATTATAACTTTCTTTTTTAAATACACCAACTTATATTTTTTATTTTATTTTATTTTCATAATAATTGTAAAATTTACAAATTTTATGAAGAGCGCTGGATCGGAGTTTTTTATTTAATTTCCAGTTCACAATCTATAGTGTTTTACGCTAAATGTAAATAAAGTACAAAATAAAAGTAAAGACATAAAATCGTTATTTTGTTTATAGGAAATGATAAATTATTTCTTTTTTAAAAGAGTTTATTGGCATTGATGGGCGATGCCAATTTTAATTTTGTTTATACTTTCACTTGAAAAAAGTTTTCTGTGATCATTAGTTTATTAGTAGTAGATTATTAGTTGAGTAACACTAATGAATTTCCTAAAATTTTTAAACTTCTGGAATGTTTGGACCCAAGTCCAAACGCTGGAGTGGTATACCACCCTAGAATTAGCTCTGGTGCATTTTGTTTGTGTCCAGCTGTACATACGTGCACATAAACAGCCCGCACTTACGTTTACGGATAATTGGAATCGAGAAATTCGCCCGTAAATAATTCCGAATGTAAATGAAGACGTTTCGCCCTAACGATTCCATTCAAAATGCAATTTTAATCAGCTAAAGTGGTCGCTTGAAGTACCAATAATTTGCGTTAACACGGCCAGAGATCCGAGATGGGTTCGATAAAACGAGATAATATCGGCGATATCAGAGCGTGGATAGTTATAAGAAGACTTGTATTGCGACCACCACACACGATCTTCTCGTTTAACGGACATACGTGAACACGACTGCATCGCACAGATTCTACAGACATTTTTACTCGAATGAGATTTTTTCACAATCAGAGTAAATTATGAAATTTCGCGTGATCGTGCCAGAAACGAGATTACTGATATTATTCTTCGGTACACAACGTCCGTCACTGATGAACGTATATAACGCAAGATTTATACCACCGCTTTCAATTTACTCCCTCGACACCACGTGAGAAATTTCTGATATAATTTTCAAACATTCAGACACGTAATTTTAACTCTCACCTAGCAATTTTCTATTTGCCAGATATGGTACATTTTTGAGAACGTTTCAAAACCCATCTTTGCTACATTGTCTTTTACGACAATATAAACTATCAGCTATAATAATTTAAATTTATGATTTAATTTATTGCTCACTGAAACTGGCCTTTGTTGAATTACTAAAGCAAATGTTGGGTCAAGAATGCTTATGTATCTTACTACTTTAATAACAAATAATTTTTAATTAATAATTTAATTAACAGCAATTTTTGTTTTTTAATATTAAACATTTGTATTTGATAGCTTCGTTTTATTTAATATTATTTGAACTATACGGTATAATATTTTTTTCCTTTTTCCTTCTGTGTTTTTTCATGTATTTATTTTTGAATGAGTAATATAAAGAGCGAAGGTTTTTGCACTGTTTGCCAATTTAATTTAAAAATATTTTGCTTGATTGGGTTGGTTGTGAAAAGTTTTTCGATGAAAAGTTCTTTTAATATAACGAGTTTAATTAAATGAAAACTAATATGTTAGTCGTCGAACCTGACCTGAAAAATTCCACCGGCGCAATGAAGAAACGTATGGAAGTTTGATTAAATTTAGTTTTGTTTAAATAACGCCGTTTAGTTTATGCGAAATCCGAATGCTAACAGTTTACGCTATAATAATTATGAAATATACTCGGAGAGAATTTAGTATGAAGATGAAAGTTTGAGTGGAGCGTTAAGTTAATAAATGTTTTGATGATTGCTCCCGAAATAACTTTGGCATATCAATGCTGGAATTTAGTATCTGTTAGTTGGTAACATTGATAATAAAAATAATAAAAGTGCCACCTACCTATTTAGAGCTTGGCCTTGAGATAAGAAATGGTTTGCCAATTTTAGCTAAACTGAAAAAAGGTTGTTGTAGTAAAAAAAAGGCGAGGAGTGTATATAGTAATTTCGTTTATTTTCAATTTTGAATTGTTAACATGTACATCACACATAAACCTAATGCTAGACGTCAGATCGAGTTCCGTTGAAAGGAAATCGTCACTGAATTTTTTTGGTGCAAAGAAAATTTTGTTATATTCCGGATAAATATACAAAAGAAGAATATATCAAAATTTTCAGATTATTTTAAATATATAAATATTTAAGTTAAATTAACTAATTTTTAAATAAACATCTACTCTAGCAACACTGGAAGTAATGGCACATTACTAATAATATACTAACAACCAGCCGACAGAATAACCAAATTCCATCACTGAAACACCGGGTCAGGTTCAAACACACACAGATTCTTATCTGAGGCGTCCTTTAGTACTCTTTACAGTCGTCACTCTAACATTACCTTCGCTAGAAAATATCTGCTTCTATCCACAGATTATGCTTAAGTATGTACATCTAGTAAAGCTACTTATTTTTAGAGTACAAGTCGATATGTGCACACGAGTGCCATCATCTCACATACTTTATACAATTTCAAGACTAACTTGCTATGCAATCGTTCGTTGGAAAATTCGAAACTTAAATTTACAAACTTTCTACTCTACCAACTCAGATCACGCAATTCGCCCAAAATTTAAATTTCCGATTTTCCAGCGGCACTTTATGTATTTACAAAATATTACACCGAGTCACTCAACCAAAATTTAGCATTTTTGCGTAGCTGCTAGATACATATAGTACTGTGCTAGCGACAGCAGATACACCATGTTGCTATTTGTACCTTTCTCGTAGTTGATCTGGCGCTCCTGCTGGCGGGCGTTGTCCGCCGCCACCTTGAGGAGTCCCTGGATGTTGCGGAGGAGCGTCTCTGTCGAGGAGATGCTGGGATCTTGACTAGGACCGTTGGCCGAAGCCACCGCACTCGCAAGAGTCGAGTAGTTCAACGCTGCTTGCTGGGAGTCGCCGCCGGGAGCGGCTGGCAGAGGCAGATCTCCTTCGTCCATGTCTGCAAAAAACAAAAATTTTATTATTTCTGATGAATGTTGGAGTCGTCAAACCGGCAATTCTCAAAGTGAGCCATCAAATCGAGCATGTCAGTTGGTCATCCATCTTGACCACAACATTAACATTCCACATCTCATTTTCCCATGTCTTAAACAAACAAATTAGGCGGAGATTTTTTCCAATGGGAGAGAACATAAGAAGTGTGCACGCATGTGCAATCAAAAATGATTTATTTGGCGATGGACCAAACTTGTATCATTCCAACGACATTTTGTTCTCTTGATATTAATATTATTATATGTAGTAAAGGCAAGTTCGCAGTTGGGTTATTAATTTAGTATTATCAGTTTAATATAGTTCCAAGACCAAAAATAGACTCTTTTCTTTTAGGTATTATTCGGGGGGAATACATTAATTTCACTAGCGATAAATTAGAAAATTCTCATTCTCGTTATGTCAGAATATTAAATTAATTAATGATGCCAACGTCACTTTTGACCTCACAAAGCATTAGTTTCAATCGAGTCTTTACTCAGAATGATGTTCACACTTCAAAAGTTATTCGGTTTAAACCAATTTCAAATTCGAGGTATGTTGCCTCAGTTTTCTCATATTTTACAGCCGCAGATGAAATAAGATAAAGTTTTTCCTAACTTCAAGCTTTTTATTGAACGAGAAAATAAAATTGCTTTAAAAATAAATACTAGAAGTTTAGTTAGTTTAGATAAAAACCGAAACATATTTTTTATAATTATTCTTATAAACGTTTACAAAACCTTTATATCATTTAGACTTTTTATTATTTATATCAGAAAAATAAGCTTTTAAAAATGTCACATCATACTATGACTTCTATTAAAAAAATAGTTATTTTTTTTATAAGTAACACAGTTTTTGCGAACGAATCGTTGCTCTTTTTCGCAGAACTTTTTAAGTACGTGTTACAAACAATATTTTTTGTGTTAAAGCTTCCAAAAACACATTCATCAACTCTTATTATGATTTATGTAATCAAAAGTAGTGAGCTTCAAATTTTAATTTCGATACTACTACCACAGTAACCACATCATTTTTTTCATCTATAAAAATGTATTTTAAGTTGTACTTTTAAGTATTTTATTTTGTATTTAATGTTAAAAAGTGCTTTTATCAACTAATTTCAGTAGATAAGTACTCTTTTATCGTCTAGTAATATAAAGTAATTTTTATCTACTGTTTATATTCTTTATTAATAACCTACACAAGAATACATGCTTAAACGAGTAAAGGAAAGAACTATGTAGAAGAACCATCAATACCAGCGTGAAGGTGGTGCAGTGTTCAATATGTCCAATTTTTATAAAAAAAAAATACAAGTTGTAAAAAAAACAATATGCCAGACACAAGAAATTGTGGTAGGTAAGAACAAAATAAAACGAAATATTATACACGACGATAAATATAGTTTATCTATACTCATGAACAAAGTCCACTCGTGACTTCGTCACTCGTAAACTTAACCTTTTCACTCCTAGATAAACGATTTCTTTATCGTCTTGTATAATAAATAACTATTATATTAAAGATGAGACAGTGGTAGTGCAGAGCGCCACCTGTCAAGTGTTGTGCCTCTTTTTCATATTATATTAAAGAGTTAAAAAAATCATTCTAGGGACTTAAATGAGTTCGTAAAATACCTACTTTTGGAAGCATATCAAAAATACTTCAAACTTTAAAAAAGCAACAGCTATTTAAAAACTTACAGATTAATTTATTCATTTTTTATGTGTTTCGTGTTTTATTTTTATCTCAAATCTGTATCTTCGTCAACAATAACGAAAATATAACTGTTTAAAAATTTCGCCAAAATGTATTTTTTGTTTAGGAATAAGTTAAAAACAAAGCCGATAGCGCGATGTGATTTTCTCTAAAAATAATTTCCTAGAAAATTGGTTCAAAAGTATGTCAATTTAAATTTAAAAAGCGGCCTTTTTTCTGAGACAGAATAAATTTGTTTTATTCATTTTCCACGATTTTTGTATTTGGTTGTGCTATTTAAAAAATCGGGCTTTGTACATTTTTATTGTCGTGTTTGTATTTCCACAAAAGCGTTGGCACTTGACGACTGCTGTCGACTGCCGAAAGTGTTTTTTTCGCTTTGGTGCATGTGTGTCGTCATCGGATATCCCCACTGGTAACACGATTCCAAAATTGGAGGACCAGTCTGTTCTTTTGGTCAAAAAGGCGCAAATCGATAATTGGACTCGACAATAATTTACCTTGATCCTTGTCGTCGTCGTCCTCCGGGTCGGAGATATTGTCGTCGTCCTCGTCTTCGGCGGCGGACCTCGGCGACCTCGGTGACGGCGGAACATCCGGCCCGTCAGCTTCGCTCCCCGAATGGTCGCCGTCACCTAACGATCCGGCGCTGCCGCCGCCGCTCTTCGACAGATTCAACACGGGACTGTGATCGGTCGGAGAGCCTGGAATAAAACGGGAATTTGGTGAATTAATTCGGTTCCGTCGACGAAATAAAAAGTTAACTATCACTCCAGGATTTAATTAATGGTTGTAAAACGGGGATTTGCCGGCTGGACGTTACACGAACCAATCTCGCCGGTAATAAATTACGCGAGGGTCACAATTAAATACGCATATGCAGAAATTGAAACGAATACCCCGGTTAAGTCTCGAAATAAATCGGACTGTTGGCTCTTTTAGATGAACGCATCAATCTGGACGCGGGGCTTAGGGGATTTATCGCCGCAACTGGGCCAAAACAGACAAATTTCGCGCGTTTGGAAAGGAAAACGCCTCGCTTTCAACCCTATTAAGGCATTTTAGTCGCACTCGATCCCACTTTACATTTGTATTTCACAAGTCTTCTACATTTTCAAAACAAAAAATTCGTTTCATATTCAAAAAAACTTGCAAAATTATTTTTCCAACAGAAATAAATAGAGTCAAAGTGCAAAATTTAAACTCACATAACTTCGAAATTTTTATAGATAGAATTTTTTAAACATTTTTCTCCATGTTCCTGGTATCTCACCTTACATGGCATTTTTCTCTGGGGCGCGAGTTCTGGCGCAGCCTGTAGGTATAATTTTTAAGACAGTTATCACCATGGAGTAAAACTTTAAATAATTTGTGTTTTAATACTCCTAATACTCCGATAAGTAATGAAATATATAATTTTCTAACAAAAACTACATAAAAAAATAAAGAAACAGAATTAAAGTAACGTCTAAATTTTCTGCAATGTTACATATTATAAAATGTCCATTTAATATGAACCAGATTCTACTAGATTTAAAAAAAAATAGAGCACTCACCGTTTCTTGGACTGAGATCCCTGGCTTTTTGGTCTAAGGGTAGTGGTCTGTCTGGATCGCACCTCTCCTCCCTTAACCTGCAACACAAATCGCCATCAATGTATCAACAATCGAATAAAACGAAGCCGTAAATTATCCCGAATAAACAAAAGCGCCCAATTATGTTCATAAAAGCGAACGATACTGCAATTTTACCTTCATTATAAATGCATTACATTTCGTCCAAAACATGCAATCTGTCGATTTGATCTTTACCAAAATGTAAATTTTAACAGTTCTCGTATTAACAGCCGGCTCGTAAAACATGCAATTAGAAAAATACATCTGTTTTAATTAGAACATTGGCAATAAGTCGCGAATTCGGAGCTTTACAGTCCCCCGTTAATGGCAGTCACCGTAGGGGTCCCTGCGCCTTCATTAAAACATCTCGGAATACATCTGAATGGGAAATTTGATAACTGACAAAACTTCCCTTCGCAAAAAATCGGACAAAGCTATCCGATATTGTGGCAATAAGTGCACGGATCATCTAGCTTTTGCGATGACTTCGACCACCTTGCCAGCGGCGATACGTTAGAAAAGCGCTTTGCATATACCACAAATATGAATAGGAAATGAAGCAATTCTGCCCCCGTGGTATCGATTATCTGCAAGAAGCCGAAGCGGAAAATTCGCAGACACTTTCTTGTACAATTAGAACAGATCCAAGAGCAACGAGGCACTAACAGGGACAGTTTAATTCCCAGTCACCCGAATTAGCCTAGAAATGGCACCTAATTCACAAGAACAGTGGCGAGTTGCACAAGATAATTGGATTTGGAAGCATGTTAGGACGCTCAACGTTCTATTAAACAGATTCTTATCTCCCAAGATTCATTTGACCCGACTTAATTATGTAACAATACGGTACATACGCTCCCACATGCTCAGGGGTGTCAGAATAGCACAGCTTAAGACTTAAACACGAAAAGAACAATACATGTTTTATGTATGTGGAAGGATTCATGCAAATCGCTCTCGGAATAATTGCATCTGATTCGAGTCATATATCAAATAAGACGCTGCTGATATTGTGGCTCAAAGTCCTTTGCATGGGCGAAAAGCAAACGAGATCCACTCGAAAGGTGCTGACTGGATCTTCCGTTTACATTGAAGTGGACGATTTTTGTTGAATTATGTAAATTTCACAAAAACGATCGTCCATCAACGACAGACGTACATGCAGTCATTTCGCAGCACAAATTTACATTTCAATCTCTTGTGGGGCCAATTCAAACAAAGGTAACAACAGCAAAAAGCAAAGCTGTTAAAATGCCACAATTTTCATAAGGAATAAAAGGGATTTTGTATGCGAGAATAAAAGTTAGAATGTGAATTCGAACAGGTCGTTAGTGTCGTTTTTCTTGATGAATTAAAAAAGGTCCTACAAGATGAATACATTTAAGTATCATGTTTTGAGCAGCGGGAATTGTCTGACACTAACGACCCTACGCCTTTTGTTTCTAAAATATGATTCCTCTAATTACTCATAATTAGACTTCGACAGTAACAAATTCGTCGTGTCCCTTTGGGATTCCATATTGAATGTAATTCAATCCGCTCCTTCGACGTTTGGAAATCCGAGTATTTTTGAATCTCTAATTGGGAATGCATTCGTCAAAATCTCAAACAATTAGCAAAGTCAAGACAAGATCTAAACGGGAGTAATAAATTATCAGGCAATAAAGCGAGCCTTAAACATTATTACCTCGTCAAATAAAACAATGCATATGAGGCCCAATAACGAAGTTCAACCCCCAGTCTTCTCGGGTTTCGCCCACTGACAGCAAAACGAGTCGTGTTTATGACTTTTCATATATTCTTCGTTATGCTCACGCAATGTTTTTCAATTTGAACGGCAAGTTCGCAGCTGCAGTCGTGTCTAAATATGTAATAAAGTATCCCTCGGTATCTCATCTTAAATTGTGTGTGTATCACAATAATTTCGCGGTATTTTTCCTGTTTAGTTGAGTTTTTCGGGGGGCGAATCAAATTTTGGCGGCTCGCACCTGTGCCGTCCCCGGGAATTACGGCAATACATTGTCTTTATATCCCGCAGGATCTCGATTGCTCCTGTTAATGTTCTCAATGCTCTCAACGCTGCTTAGTCTTCGCATTACTTTTAAATATTCAAGCAACGTTAGGACGTCTCTAAAAGCATTTGGCCATTAAAAAATTAAGCGGCGGCTTCCTATTATATTATTATTTTATGCATACTTTACTGCGCACTAAATGGGAGGGAAATCGCTACGAGCAAGACGCACAACACGCATTTTAATTCCATTTTTCGCTACACAATTCATTCGGAAACTCACAATTTCGACTCGTTCTCAATTAGAGAGCAAACCGCTTAATTGTAGAAGATGGCATGCCTAACTCGAACATTAATATTAAATCGGAACCCTTCAGGATAATATAACTACAGTAGGTAGAACTAATTATTATTTAATAACGGCTCCGATCTGCGACTACTTCGCTGATTGACTACTAATTGCCTCAAGACGTAATTAAAATTTAATCATCTCGGTACGACTGTGTTTCTCCTTATTTTCATTTTACAATAATATCGATTTTTCGTTGCCGATTCACCGAAAATTGACACGATAATGGATCAAACATCAATCGTTGTGTCTTCGTGGAAGTGTTTCGCTCCGAATCGAATCAAAGTCGATTACCAACTGGAGGAACATTTATCAAAAGAGGAATACGTCATCACATATTACAACAACTTTGTATACGTATATCTACCGAAAACAGGGGCTGCCGCATCAAGTGATGTTCCTACACTCAATCAATCACATTTTCTATGAAATTGAAAATTTTATACGTGACGAAACACACTTGTTTGAGTCAAATTTGCCAAATACACCAAGGAATTGCCTACAGAACTCAATCTAGTTCCTGGATTCGCAAGTTTAAAATACAAAAACCTGTCCATTATTAAAAATGCGAATTTAATATAAAATTACTTAATCCAGTGGCTTCATTATCCAAGTAAATTTAAAAAACTGCAAAGTTATTAAAGTATGTTTGCCGCCCTCCTGTCGAATATTAATTAAAGCAAGAAACAACTGTAATTTCGGGCAACAATTTCTGATAAAATCTCAACATATTCCAGCAAAAAAAAATCGTTTTGTTGAGCAAAACGCTGCTCTCGCCGCACCTGCATGTGTGTATTATTGTCAGTAAAAGAATTGCTCGTGCATAAAGGATCGTTTATTCGAATCGGGCCTGAATTATCTTCAGAAATAGTTTAACGCCTAGTCATAATGAATTCGAATTTATTACAATCAAATTTCAATCGAAGCAAGTATGGCCAGCCGCTACCGTTTTACATTTAGATTTCTATCTCTATTACTTCGTTTAAATTGTGTCTATGACTAATCAAAATCTGCTGAAAGCCTTCCGAGTCGACCAAAGCATCATTGGGTCTGTCGCGGTTCGAAACGTGACGAATGTATTCAAGACTAATTGTTCTTTGCAGTAGTTTAACCCTTCTTTGATATAATCATTACCCTTCTCTTATACTTGTTTCATTATTATTTAATTATTTTCATTTCTGCTTTAGACATGTTAGGAGGGAGTCTGAGATTGATAATTTACAGGTAGCTGACTAAATTCATTTAATAACAAGTCTCTGAAAAATGAGAAAATTTCATTTGAATTTAAGGGTTAGGAAGCCGGTTGCTTGGCTTTTTTCCAATTCCCAGTCGAGCCAATTTGGTATTCTCTAGTTACCAATCGAGTGATTGAATTGAATTAGGGCCGTATCTCCCGAGGTCGATGGATTTCGCTTTAGACATGCACGATTTGTCTGGAAGAAAGCCAATTTTTGGCGTTTGTTTTCCAAAATAAGTGATAAATTGTTTAGTGAGCCTTTCACCTGTGTTTATAAACAATTACAAGTGCATACAATAAATAGGACCGGGTAAATATTCAGGCTGAAAAGGGTGAGTCTACTGGAAATGGAAGTTAATGTTTACTTAATATTACAAATGTATGAAGAGAAACGTGGGTCAGCACTGCAAATAACTGACATATAACAAGCTCCTCTATGTAAATAATAATTTCAGTTAACAAACACATTCATACTTTCGAGGTACTCCACATTTCGGCCACCGAAAGTCGATTAAAATTTTATTGCCTCGACTCAGTGAAATAATCTTTCTTAAGGGACGCGCTTCTAAAGCGCAAAAACAAACTAAAATTTTAATTAATGAAAGATCCAGGTACTTATAAATCACATGTACCACCCCACTGTCCATTCTAGAAGGATCACAGAAGGCCTATCTGAAACACGCATTGTTTGCAGGCGAGCTTAACAAAAGCAGAGCTTTAATTGCGGACTAGTTACGCAAAAACCGACCCTATAAAGAGACGACGTATCGCTACGACCTAATCTTACAGAGGGATTCACATATCTCCACGCAAATTAAATCTTAAATGAAATTTGAAACTATGCCTGTCTTTTTCTCCGATGATATACCGACGATATTGGCGTGCCTTTACACAGACGCCGCTTATCGCCCCACACAGAACGCTTTAAAACCGTTTATTTTGCCTTGATTTCCGATAAGTTTGTTTTAATTCCATTTATAAACACCTGGCAGGAAAAATCACATTTTTACATTGCCACAGCTCGCAGACACCCCTCGAAGTAAACCCGAAGTCTTAAATAATGTCCAAGACTGGTTCCAGGTTTATTATCCGGCTAATCAGGTTTCATAAATCTGGATTCCATCGTAAAATTAATTAGAACGTAAATAAGTAAGAATACATTATTTTCTATTATTTAAATTAATTTAATTATTTAAAAAAATTACGAGTTTGATGATGCATGCATCTTCTAGTAATTTTTTAATATAAACGTCTTTTTAAAGTAACAATCTATAAATTTGATGCTTATGGAGTAGGTATACTTGAAAAAACTTCTCAATTTATTTAGATAATTAAAAAAAACGAGTATAACTGCATTCATTTATTATTAGAAAATAATTGAAACGAGCTGATTTGCGATAAGCTGTGGTTCAACATGAAA